TCTTCTTGGGGGAAAGGGTGCCCCCGCAAAAGAAGGGTGGGGCACATTAAATCTGCATCTTTTATACACACAGAGAGAAAATGTGTTCCTAGTTTGGCTAATCCAGAACAACGCAGAATGAATGGTGCCTGGAATGTGGCCTGCACCACACCCTCCTTTAGGTTTTTTGGAATATGGGGTTTGCTCTTGTGCTTTTCACAGATATGAAATTAGGCCGACAGAAGTCTGGGTTCTGGCTCTTGCTCTGCGCTGCTGAACTTGCAGGGAGAGCCGGGAGCCAAAAGTTTTTGGAACAAGTTTCCTCCCTGCAGATGCTGCCATTCATTTGTGTGAGAAACAAGACCACTTACATCTAATTACAGTTTCTGCTCAAATTAACAGGACAGGAATGACAGCCCCGGAGCGGGGGGTGGAGGAACAGTCTCGGGATGAACTGGGAGACCTTTGCCCAACATGGATTAGGACATTAAGTTGGCTTTGAAGGACACCAACTCTTCGACGGGGCCTACTTTTCAAAATTAACGGAACGCTTAATTTGTGTCAAAGTGAAGGGCTTATCCATGCAGCCCTGCAAAGCACACTCCAAAAAAATTTCCCCCACCGCTTTGAGGAATCCCCCCACAAATCCTTCAGAAGGCCATATATGGTTCCCATGGGATAGGGTCAAAAGCTTTGCCATAGCTACCTAAGGGCATTTGAATTACCAGGTCGAATTTCCCTATTTTCACCAGAGAAATGTTGGAGGGTATGGGACTGGTGAGAGTAAGGGTGCACGTTCCGAATGCATTCCCTGCACATAGAAAACTAGTATGTCAGTCACAGAATCACAGAATCACAGAATCACAGAATGATAGAGTTGGAAGAGACCACAAGGGCCATCGAGTCCAACCCCCTGCCAAGCAGGAAACACCATCAGAGCACTCCTGACATATGGTTGTCAAGCCTCTGCTTAAAGACTTCCAAAGAAGGAGACTCCACCACACTCCTTGGCAGCCAATTCCACTGTCGAACAGCTCTTACTGTCAGGAAGTTCTTCCTAATGTTTAGGTGGAATCTTCTTTCTTGTAGTTTGGATCCATTGCTCCGTGTCCGCTTCTCTGGAGCAGCAGAAAACAACCTTTCTCCCTCCTCTATGTGACATCCTTTTATATATTTGAACATGGCTATCATATCACCCCTTAACCTCCTCTTCTCCAGGCTAAACATGCCCAGCTCCCTTAGCCGTTCCTCATAAGGCATCGTTTCCAGGCCTTTGACCATTTTGGTTGCCCTCCTCTGGACACGTTCCAGTTTGTCAGTGTCCTTCTTGAACTGTGGTGCCCACAACTGGACACAGTACTCCAGGTGAGGTCTGACCAGAGCAGAATACAGTGGCACTATTACTTCCCTTGATCTAGATGCTATACTCCTATTGATGCAGCCCAGAATTGCATTGGCTTTTTAGCTGCCGCGTCACACTGTTGGCTCATGTCAAGTTTGTGGTCAACCAAGACTCCTAGATCCTTTTCACATGTACTGCTCTCAAGCCAGGTGTCCCCCATCCTGTATTTGTGCCTCTCATTTTTTTTGCCCAAGTGCAATACTTTACATTTCTCCCTGTTAAAATTCATCTTGTTTGTTTTGGCCCAGTTCTCTAATCTGTCAAGGAAGTCAAAAGGCTTCAGTCTAGTTTTCTCCCTGAAGTGCTACATTACTATATGCGGTGAGTGATCTGTCTGCTGATTCTTCAAAAACATGATTCTTCCACCTGTAGGGGAAATAAGTCCAGTCCAGGAAAGGCATTATCTTTGGATTCTACTGAACATGGAAGCCACCCCTTGGTGTTGGTACTTGGTAACCTAACACAATATCTTTTTCATATTTCATTCTGTAGCCTTTACTATTTTGCGTCAACATGGAGAGGGTCAATGAACTTAACCAGGGCACTGGGGCCACCCCCTCTGGGCAGCAGCACTTTCTGGCTTCTGAGACTACACCTGGAATTGCTCTCACAAGTCATAAGGACTAGTGCCTTAAATAAAATTTAAAAACTGAGATTCTTAGGAAGCTAGATAGAGTGACCAAGACCTCCATTGTACAGCTATTCTGTGCTTCCACTGTACACATCCAACTCCGGTTCTGCTTGATTTCGTGGTTAAATTGATCTTCTTTCTCCCTTCCCTTCCATATTTTTCTTCATTCCTTCCATACAAACATAACAAAGACTGTTTTCAGAAGTGGCCAAGCAGTTGCATTCAGGTCTGCTACTTCTGAACATGAAGGTTCCATATAGCTATCATACCTGGCAACCATCAATCTTATCATGAACCTATCAGGGGGAAGTGTCATAATTCAATGACAGAGCACATGTGGCTGCAAGCAGGTTCAACCCCTTTGCATCTCCAGGCATGTCTCCTGCCTGAAACTCTGGCAAGCCACTGCCAGCCAGTGCAGACAAAACTAGGCTAGATGGACCAACAGTCTGACTCAGAATAAGGCAACTTCCTATGTTCCTTATCCTTAAACACACACACACACACACACACACACACAAACAGCTAAGCTAGTGGCCATCAACACAGCCTGCTCCTCTTATAAGCTTGTTTCCAAGCTTTCAAGAGAATCTGGAAGACACCATGTTTTCCTCTGCTGGGCAAACCTTGAACACTCAATCTGTGAAATGAAGACAGCTACCAGCCTTGTGTCCAGCCTTGGACACCATTCTGTTCCCCCAACAGAGACCTCTCTCTAGCCAGCCATTAAGGTTACTGAAACTCAGTTCCAAGGATAAATTCCTGGCGCCACTCTGGCTCGTGTCGACAGGATGAGTTTATCTGGAGGGAATTTGCCATGGAATGTGCTGCAAAACAGATTTCTCATTTGAAGTCCAGTCCAAGTGCAGCAGCAATGGCAAGGAGCAGCTACCCAAATTTTGGACAACCACCCTTTGCTTGTTACCTTTTCAACTCGTAAGAAGATAATGTTTTCATTCTGCTGCTGCTGCTCAAGAATTTTTACTATTTTATTTTTTTGGGGAGTAACAATAAAATACCGGTTTCTGTTCACAATGAGTTTGCAATATGATAATCATCATCTGAATTCAAGGTAGCAGTAAGTAGGGAATGCAAGGTTCATTTTATACAGGAAATTCCCCTTGGAAATTCACACTGAATTCCCAGCTAGTCTGACTTTATTCCATAATAAAGTACTGGACAGAGTTCAAAGAGTATGTGAGAGAACATTTCCATTAGGACACACGCTATACGGAAAAATGTGGTATGTAATCCACTGGGAGCAGTCAAGTACAACATTCCTTGTTTTCCTAGAGTGGACATGCAAGGGAATTTTTGGTCCAACCAGTCAAAACTTCCTTTTCCTCCTGGCCTGGAACATCCTTCCTTTGCATGTGATAGAAGGTGGGCGTGACCTAACCTGTCCAGGTAACAAAAGGACAAGTCACGCAGCACACCTCTCTCTTTTTCCCATCTTCCTTTTGTCGTGTGAACTGCAGGACTGCAAGCCTGCAGCCACTGGGATTATTCCCCCATATGGGGTAAACCTGTTTGTATATGTTTGAAACTTTAAGCCTTAAACCTGCCTTCAGTGCTCTGCCTGATCTTTTTGTTACTTATGAATAGGACTGTGGTGTCTTTATTCTTTTGGGAGGGATTCAAGGGAACTTACCAGGAACATACAATTCAATCTGAGACAGACTGAATTATATAATAGTCAGAGGCTCACACGAGCCTCCAACCAGCTATCTGCTGTGCATGTGTACAGGGGAATGTAAACTCTGCCAAGTAAAGGAACTTGCTAACGCAAGTTAGGAAGGATATTAATCAACAATATATCCTCCCCTGCCACCCTGAACATTCCCACAAAAAACATACGTCATTTTAGCTGCTCATTCTCCACCCAACCACATTCTGCCACCCCAGGACCCCACCATCTCTCACCCAACCAGAGTCCATGAAAACACTTCCTCAACCCATTTTTTATTTATTTTTTACTGTATGTATCAGAACCTACTTTGTACCTATGATTAAAACCTAATGTATTACTTGTGTATTCCTTTGTTCTTTTTATCCAGCAACAGTTCCTACCTCCAATATCCTCTAAAATTGTTTACTCTTCCCTCTCCCCAAGGCACTTTCACGTACATTTGTGGGGAAATGCCCTGTGTGATTCATAAATGTTAATTGTATTTGTTGTGCTGACTGAAGGTTTTATTTAACTAAACTGGAATATACTTTTATTCATTAGAAAAGGAAGTGGGGTGAGAGCTGTTGAAGAAGAGAACACACTTTTGTTCTCCTTCAGCAGTTATCAAATGCACATGCTTAATTTTATTATATTTCCTGTACTCAATGGAGTCAACCATTACTTTAGGTTGTTCATATTTATAAGTTTGCAAGATGAGAAGGGTTTTAGGGAAGCTTTTAATGTTTAACAGACTATTGTATTTTAATATTTTGTTGGAAGCCACCCAGAGTGGCTGAGGAAACCCAGCCAGATGGGCGGGGTATAAATAAATATATTATTATTATTATTATTATTATTATTATTATTATTATTCCTTACCTTAAACTGTCTTTCCCTTTAACATTCGGCCGTTAGGTTCCTCCTCAACTGGTTCTTACCCATTTTGCAGTCAGGTCACATTCTTGCATATGTGACACTGGTGAGCCTATGCAGTCAATTTCCCCCTCTCCCCATGCACCCCTGCACATCCCCTAAACTCGGTCTGCGGTTTTTGCCAACGGTTCAGAGCAGATTTAGGGGGCAGAGGTGGAGGAGAGGAGGGAAAAAATCCCATTGCACAAGCAAACCTTATTCCATGCCTGCAACAACTTAGCTGAATCCCGCTCAGTGCTTGTTAGTTGCTTGCTACTCAAAGGTCTTACAACACATTTAAAATAGATACATTATTCCATAAAACGGGGGGGGGGATGGGCAAGTCCCGTAACAACCACAGGAAACTTGGGCAGCACACTAGTAGCAAAACAACACCATTGAAAGCCTTGGGAGGGAAGAAAAGTCTTTATCTGGTGCCCAAAATATGTCAGTGAAGGCACCAGGCAGACCTTGCTGGGGAGCACATTTGACAGATGGGGAACCACAGCTGAAAAGGCCACTCCTTTGCATCCATCTTCCTCAAGTGCCTTTGGCTGGCTTGGATGTGTCCTTGAAGTATGGTAATATGTCTCGCTCGTGTGAAAAACAAGAATGAAGAGATGTTTTGGAGGAAGTAAAGGATCATCCAGCTGGAATGTAGCCTGCTAAACAGAGAAGAAGAGAAGAAGAGTTTGGATTTGATATCCCGCTTTATCACTACCCGAAGGAGTCTCAAAGCGGCTAACATTCTCCTTTCCCTTCCTCCCCCACAACAGATACCCTGTGAGGTAAGTGGGGCTGAGAGACTTCAGAGAAGTGTGACTAGCCCAAGGTCACCCAGCAGCTGCATGTGGAGGAGCGGGGAAGCGAACCCAGTTCACCAGATTACGAGTTCACCGCTCTTAACCACTACACCACACTGGCATAGAGAAGAGACCCATCCATTGTCCAGTCCACTTTGGGCACTGGCCCCAACCAAGGGAATGTGGGCCTCTGGGTGAAAAAGGTTTTCCCCACACTTGCCAGAGGGGCAGAGGAGGAGGGTTGAAGGGAGGGCAAACAGGGGAAGCCTGTGATCAAGCTCACTTGCATGTCCGTACGTTTGTCTCACAACCCTCGGATCTGTCTCCCATCTTTCAGGGAGAAGAGCAAGGATCTAGCAGATGCACCTGACTCAGTAATGGCTGCAGATGTTCCCTAAGGGCATCTGGTTCACCACTGTGAGGTCAGGATGCTGGACTAGGGGGGCCATTGGCCGGATCCAGCAGGACTCTTCTTATTGCCACTGTTTCAAGTCTAGTACAAAAGAAACCCATTTTATCAGTTCCTGTCCAGCCCAAGGGGCCTCTGACTCTGGCAGCTTGAACTCCCTACATGAGCTGTCCAAAGTGCTATTCACAGCCTGTTCTCCTGTCTTGCCTGGCCTAGCCTTATGTGTCAGGAGTGCGTGCAGGAGCCAGGCCCTGTGACCAGTAGGGCTTCGCAGGACTGGGCCTTCCTAAGTTTGTTCTGGAGAGGCAAGGTGCAGCCTCACAGGTGAGGCCGCTTGGTAACTCACAGCACCTGGTGGCAAGAGCTGGGAAGGGTTATAAGGTCAGCATTTCCCTCTGCCTCTTTGCCGCAGCAACACGTTTCCTGCCTTGGGCTTCTTGCTTCCTGATCCTCGGACCTCGGCTTCGTGACGCCTTGCTTCTCGACCCTGGGACCCTTGACTTCGTGACTCCCTGCTTCCTGACCCTTGGACCCCTGGCTTCTGGACTCTCATTCCTGCTCCCAAACCACCATCTTGCCCCCAGTCCCAACGTCCTCAGCCAGGACTTCGATCACCTGTAGACCGGACTGTGACAGTATGCTACCGCCTTGCCTTGCCTTACCTTGCTTTGCCTTGCCTTGCTGGACCCTGATGCGCTATGCCAAAATCTCGACTTTGCCCTGCTCTTCACCTGTCTACAAAAAAAAGATTTGATTAAAAAGAAAATACAGGGTATTTAACTGCTATATGAGGAAAAACTAAAGTTTTGTGTTTTAACTCCAATCTGTATTTTATTTTATTTTTTAAAAAATAATTTTTATTAACAGACCAATCAAATCACATTAATTCCAAATTACAAAGTCAAATTTTAAATTTTTGTTGGGGGTACCCATATTTCAAGTTCCGAAATGGATCCAATCATCTTGTTGCTGCTGCTTTGATGTCCACAAATCTGTCCAAATGATGTTCACAATTCTATCCAATCCTTTCTTGTTGTTTTCCACCTCTCTTCTTGTTGTTTTCATATATTTTCCCTTTTCCTTTGTGACCTCTGATAGTCTCCACAAGCGAGTAGAAACCAATTGTAGTCCTGTGTGGGTTTTTCCACTCATCCAAGAGTCATATTCAGATGGCTGCCGCTTTTCATCACTTCCATAAATAAACACACTCTTGCCGTCTACTAGTTAATCTTCACAGGTCTGTCACTCCCTTTCTCAGTCTTCTGAGGAGGTTCTGCCAGAAATCCCGTATAAAAACAGATCCATAGCTTCCTCCTCCTCAGTCATCAGTCTTTCGACAGAACCCAATCTGTATTTTATTTATTCATTTATTTTATAAAAAAATGTATATACTGCTCACCTGTATAAAATTTCAATGTGGTATAAAACAATGCGTACAGATACAGTAAAAGATAAAACCAACACAATATTCAGGCAGTGGTCCAGGTATGGAGAAGTAGCTAGAGCCAGGGCCTTTTCAGTACTGGCCCCGACTTGGTGGAACGCTCTGTCACAAGAGACTAGGGCCCTGCGGGACTCTTTCCACAGGGCCTGCAAGACAGAGCTGTTCCACCAGGCCTTTGGCCAGGGCACAGCCTGACTCCCTCCTTTGGCAATCTTCACAGAACTCTATCCCAATGATTGCCATCAATTTGATTTGAATTAATTTTATAATGAAATGATTTTAGAATGTTGTATTATTTTATTGTTGTTAGCCGCCCTGAGCCCGGCTTCGGCTGGGGAGAGCGGGATATAAATAAAATTTATTATCGGTGAAAGAAGACTGGAAGAAATTTAAAGACTATTTACAGAAATATTGTAAAATTAAGGAATCTTAGAAGGATGTTGGATAGAAACTAAGAGGTTTTTAGCTGTAATGCTTTAAGAGATATGAAAAAAGGTTTACAATTGGGTAAAAGCTTAATGGTAAGGATTTGCTGAATTAACAAACTGAACGGGAATACAAAAAAGGGAGGTACGAGGAGGTCCGGGGAAAGAAGTGTAAGGAAGATAGGTTATGGAAAATTAATGTCTTTTTAACTGTTTTATTTTGTATGTTTCTTTTTACTTTTTTACTCTTTTGTTATATTTTAAAAACTTATCTTTTTTTCTGTATTTTTTTGTATTTTTTGAAACTTTAATAAATATCATTTTAAAAAATATATAAATAAAATTATTTTTTATTATTATTATTATTATTATTATTATTATTATTATTATTATTATTTAGCTCTGTGTGTCATTAATGTATTGACACCATGTTCCAGACCCCCAAATGGCCATTCCCACTGGCTTTATATAGACGCTAAACAGCATTTGGAGACAAAGTGGTGCCCTTTGGAACTCCATAGCACAAGGGCCAAGGAACATCCAGTGGCAGGTGGTGAAATTCTTTTGTAGGGGAACAGTTAGAGCCAGAGGCGCCAGCTTGTGAGGCCAGTGTGTGTGTGTGTGTGTGTGTGTGTGTGTGTGGCTTCAGGAAGTCCTATCCCTCCCACGATGGCAGCCAAGAGGCAGATAAACAAGAAGAGTTCTTACCAAAGTAGTTTATTCAATATTCACAGAGAGAGACGAAGGGATGTGGTCTCACTTAGACAATGGTGTTGCTCCAAGAAAAGTCCCACCCCCCTCTGTCCCTCCTATTCTACATCAACCCTGCACCGGCTGATCAGGGCCTCCTGCCTCTGAGCTTTCTGTTCTCCTACTCTCAATGCACGCCTGGTCCTCGGAGAGGGGGGTCAGGAATGCTTTCCAAAGACACTGAGTGCCAGCTTCCTCCTGTGCTCTCCCAATATTTCCCAGCTTCTCCCCTCTGCAGCCTCTGAACCATGACCTTCTGCAAACCCCTGTTCTGAATCTACACTCTCCCCTTCTTCTCAGGAAGGTTCAGGAAGGGGGGGTTGGTCCCCACCATTCCTCCTCAGTCCAGTCCCTTACATTGGGTGACGTCACAATGTCCTGACATCATGTGTGTGAGCATCTCGGCTCCCTTCCCAAGCTGGGTAGAAGCTCCCCAGGCTTCAGGAAGGTGGCAGGAGAGCTCTAACACCCATCAGAGGTCCGTTTCCGGGGCCTAATCTGGTTTAATACGGCCCATGTGGCAGTTTATTTCCAAAGTCCATTTCGGGGGCCTAATCCATTTTAATCTGGCCCCGGTGGCAGTTTATTTCCTGGGGTAAAATCCTAAAATAACCTCAACAACTCCAACCCCACCAAAAAGCTCAACAACTTCAATCATAAAACAAAAACAACTCAACAAATCTGAGGTAAAATTATAAAAAAAAAAGTCAACAACTTCAATCCTTAAAAAAGGTCAACAACTTTGGTTGGCCCTTTGGTCGGTCCTCACGGCCCTTCACTTCATCAAATCTGCCCCTCTTTGAAAAAAGTTTGGACACCACTGAGCTAGGGTCTTATGAGTCCCTCACACTGTGTGCCCTAAGGGATGCATTTAATCCTAGATATGGTCAACCAACAACCCCCATGCATCTCAGTGCCATATAACAATGCAATAATGGCAATATTGAAGGTGTGAGGGGGGTGCCTTCAACCTAATCCCACCCCTCCAAAGGAACAATTACCTTTGCTGTCTCCTCTTCGGGGTCAAAGCATTACGGTCAGTCCACGGTCAGCCACAGCAGACCCCAACTGTTGCTGGATTATAACTCCCATTATTATGTACCCCTGGTTCTGCTAGCTGTGGCGATGTTGTCCAATAACAGCTGAGGACCCACGTTGTTTGAGAAATAACAGCTGGGGACCCATGTTTGCTCTAGGGGCTGGCAACCATCTGGCCAGCTGCTCAGCCCCAGCTGTAAGAAATCCATCATAGATCAAGCTTGCTGCTGTCACTTTGGCCTCCGGTGGTCTGACAGGAGTCTAGCAAGATGGCGAAATAAAGCAACAAGAGCCTTGCTGGTAGATAAATGAGGCAGGGAGGCGGGAAATGACTGCAAATCTATGGTTTATAACCCTGCATTTGGAATTCTGTGTCCCACTCTGGTCGCCTCACCTCAAAAAGGATATTGCAGAGTTGGAAAAGGTTTGCCCAAATTATTGAGGGGAAGGAACGACTCCCCTGCAAAGAAAGTTTGCAGCCTTTGGGACTTCTTAGTTTAGAGAAAAGGCAAGCGAGAGGTAACAAGATAGAAGTCTATAAAACAGTATGGTGAAAGTAGATGGAGAAAAGGTTTTCTCCCCCTCTCATAATGCAGGAACTCGTGACTAAGTGCTGGAAGTTTCAGGACAGATAAAAGAAAGTGCATTTTTCATGCAGCGCATACCGTATATACTCGAGTATAAGCTGACCCGAATATAAGCCGAGTGTTATGTACTGAGTTAAATAGGATCCAAAATGCAGCAGTCTGATTGGTCCTAGAACAATGCAGCAGTATGATTGGTCTGCAGGAGCCACCCAATCCGGCTCCAGGTGGAAGTGAATCCACAACCTGATTGGCCTACAGGAGAATTCCGGAATTAGCCAATCACGTGCGGCCCATTGTGTAAATAATGTATATAAAGCAGATACTTTGAGGGGACTTTCATTCCTCCTCATCACTATGAGCTGAATAAAGAGCATGAAATCCACTCTCGACTCAGAGTATATTTCACCAAGGCACCTAATTTTAGGACAAAAAACAGGGAAAACTTATTGACTCGAGTATAAGCTGGTTCACCACACCACAAACCTGGTGGTGGAGGCAGTGGAGGAGGAAGAACAAGCAGCCTCTGACGCTCACACAGTGCAGCGCAGTGCTTCTCCCAGCCGTGGCTCCTGTGCCTGCCCTTGCGAGAGGCAGGTGACGGCAGAGGGATAAGTGGCGAGAAAGGGCTCCTTTAAAAAATATGCTGAAAAAGTCGGCTTATGACCGGCAGAATTCGAGACCAGGGAGAAGGGTCGATGGAAGAAGACTGGAAAAAATTCAAAATATATCTTCAAAAATACTGTAATATAAAAGAATGTTAGAAAGAGGTTGGAAAAAGAATATCAGGTCGTTTTGGCAGATATGATATAATGGACTAAGTAAAAATGAGGTATGGAAATCGATGAAATAGAGGAGGTTTAATTACATTATTCTAATTTTAAAATACGTAAATGAAAAGAAGGTTAGAAGGATTTGCTGGAAATACGATCTGAACTAGAATACAAAGTTGGGATGTGAGAGGAGGTCATGGAAATAAGTAAAGGGAAAAAGGCTAAGTAAAGGTTTAATCTGTTTTTTGTCTTATTTTAACTCAATGCATTTTTATATTTTTTGTTAAGTCTTTTTTTATATTCTACTTTATTGTCCTTTTTTTTTATTTGTTCATTTTACGTTTTGTTATGGTTAAAGTTTTCTCTGTATTTTCTATGGTTTTTCTGTTTCTTTTTTGTAATCTTAAATTTGGAATAAATATTATTTAAAAAAAATATGAAAAAGTCGGCTTATATTTGAGTATATACGGTAGTTAAACTGCGGAACTCTCTCCCACAGCAGCTGTTGACGGCCACCACATTAAACGGCTTTAAAAGAGGATTAGACTAATTCACAGAGGGCAAGGCTGCTGATGGCTCCCAGCTCTGTTCGGCCTCCACAGTTGGAATCAGTGACGCTTCTGAATATGAGTCGCTGGAAATCACAGGGAGAGAGAGTGCTCCTGTGCTCGGATCCAGTTTGAAGGCTCGCTGCAAGCATGTGGTCAGCCACCGCAAGAATAGGATGCTGGACTAGGTGGGCCATCGGCACTTCTTATGTTCTTATGGTCCCTGTTGTTGTTTAGTCGTTTAGTCGTGTCCGACTCTTCGAGACCCCATGGAGCAGAGCACGCCAGGCACTCCTGTTTTCCACTGCCTCCCGCAGTTTGGGCAAACTCATGTTGGTATCTTCGAGAACACTGTCCAACCATCTCGTCCTCTGCCGTCCCCTTCTCCTTGTGCCCTCCATCTTTCCCAACATCAGGTCTTTCCCAGGGAGTCTTCTCTTCTCATGAGGTGGCCAAAGTACTGGAGCCTCAGCTTCAGGATCTGTCCTTCCAGTGAGCACTCAGGGCTGATTTCCTTCAGAATGGATAGGTTGGATCTTCCTGCAGTCCATGGGACTCTCAAGAGTCTCCTCCAGCACTATAATTCAAAAGCATCCATTCTTCTGCGATCAGCCTTCTTGATGGTCCAGCTCTCACTTCCATACATCACTATTGGGAAAACCATAGCTTTAACTATACGGACCTTTGTTGGCAGGGTGATGTCTCTGCTTTTTAAGATGCTGTCTAGGTTTGTCATTGCATTCCTTGCAAGAAGCAGGCGTCTTTTAATTTTGTGACTGCTGTCACCATCTGCAGTGATCATGGAGCCCAAGAAAGTAAAATCTCTCACTGCCTCCATTTCTTCCCCTTATGGTCCCTACTCACCTGCAACCCCTACAGTGTCTTCAGCATCCAAATGTCATGGTTCTAGGTCAATGGTAGGCAAGTTGTGCCCCTCTAGATGTTGCTGGCTGATAACAGCTCCCTTCATTCCTGAGCCAGCAGGACCAGTGGTCAGGGATGATGGGAATTGTAGTCCAAAAAAAAAGCTGGAGACCCAGGTTTGGGAAACACTGCTCTACAGGCTGTGTTCAAGTATGCAACCATTTTTTTTTCTCCGTCAGGACCATGTGTCTCTGTTCCATTGCTGCAACCACTGTGGCCTACAGTCTTTCTCCTCAGAGCCAAACAGGCCTTTAAAAGCTGCTGAGCATATGAGAGAAGGAGGTTTAATCTCACCTGTACTATTAAAATGACATCACTGGACCCCTTCCCTTCCTCTGGTTTGGCATCTGTGCTAGGTAAACTAATGCAAAATAAAAATAAAAATAAATGCTTTTTCTTTCTTTGTGGGAACTCAGAGCAAGCACCTGTGCTTTACAGAAGTACCATGAGCCCAATAAACAAATTATTTTTAATTGCCAGCAGATATAAAGATGTGTGAGGTTTATGATTAGTGGTTCTCGATATTATCATCATCAAATCAGGGTTACTATAGCCATGCATATTGCCTTTCTCTTCTCTCTGATCTGAATTTGTATAAATGCCTACTTTCCCCGCAACCCCTCTCCAGACTGGCATCCTTCCACCCAGCAAGAGGAGATTTTAATTCCATGTGCATTTTGAAGGAGTTGTTAAATTGCACCCATGCCTATTTGCTTTTGTTTTTCCTTAATGGATCCGGCGATGGATACTCTGAATGGATACTAATCTGCAAGTATCCAGAAAGTATCAGAGCAATGTGGCATCAATTGCACCAGGCCTCCGTTTATTTGGAGTTGAATAATGCCACACGAGAGATGCACATAACATCAAACTTGCTGGATTAGAGAAGGGGACCTCGTGCTCTAAATCATGATTGTCAATCATTGCCCGGGATTAAGGGATATGGTTTAAAAACCTAAAAAGGGAGCACTTCCTTTTAACTTCTGCCTACTGTGCATTTTGGATTATCGTCGCCCAGAAATAGCCTTGCTTGAGTCAAGGCTGCCTCCCTTCTTCCGCGGGAAGGAAATACATCTCTTTTGCCATCTGCCCGGCTCACTTTCAGCTGGAATCCGAGCCAGAGAGGGATGCAATGGAGAGGTTTCCTACATCTCAACGCGAATGACTGAGCTGCCGTTCAGTTGCACTGTTTCCCCCCCTCTCCCAGTGAACTGTGGCCGGCACATGAGTAGATTTTCTAGCGGTAGCAATTTCCAAAGCAAAGTGACTCCCCGTCAGCAGTCTCAGCTGTGGGCTGTCAAGACAGAAGCTGTAAAACAAAGATTTGGGGAAAATATTTCTTGGATTTCAAACCCTCCAAGTGTCCCTATTTTCCAGGGACAGTACTGGG